ATGTCATTTTTACAACTTTCAAATTTCCGCCAGTCCGTCCCCCGTACGTCATGACGTCGCAGGGAACGGAACCCAGAAGACAGATGCCGGCATCGCCGGAGGACATTGCCGGGGACACCGCAGGGGGACATCGCGGGAGTGCGCAGGACAAGGTAAGTGAGAAGAGATCCCGGAGCAACGCTGCAGTGTATTCCTGAGTGTAGCTCGGGGGGGGGTACCTCTTGTGGTGCTGAAACTTTACCCCGAGCTACACTCAGGAATACCGCCAGGGGGTTAAAGAAACACGTTCACCTTTCGTCTCTACAAATGACACAGGATTACATGGATGGTGCCCTGGACAAGCAGAAAAACCTTGGGACCATGCAATATTTTCTCCAACTAGCATAAAAATCTGATTAATTTTCAAGAGCCACTTGTGCAGAAATCCCCCCAAAATCCTAAACTTTGCCTAAATAAAAATGCTACCAAAAAAAGTCACAAACCCAGATCACATGGTGTGTTTTCTTACCTTATCCATTTTATTCTGAATGTAATCCAGCAAAGAGAAGAGCCGTTTGTTTAACACATCAGTATTCTGTGGAAAACTATAGTGGATGATGCATGTGGCATCAGTGATATCAAGAATGGGAGCATAATCATCAGTAACCACTGCAAACAGAAGCATAGGGGATCAAGAAAAGAGGCACAGATATGATATGTAGATGCAGAAAAATAAAAAAAGACACAAATTTCCCTTGCTTCATCATCCTTCCATCCAACCCAACTCTGTGTAGCAATAACGGAAGTCTTTAACTTTGGATTATACAGTGCTGCCACCTGATGGAGCTTATGCTTGAAGCTGGCTTCAGATGAGGTTGCAACATTCACCAGGTAAAATTTAGAAAACAGTTGAAAAAAAGGACAAGTTGATAGCCTTGCTAACTTGTGAAACAGATGCTTAATGCAGAAAGAAACGCAGATGTAGTAGAGTTCACTTTGACCAGAAAGGGTGGAACCCAATCCTTGAGGCCACAAGCTTAAATGATGGGCTATCTAAGCCACCTAGAAATGGTGGTGGAGTCACTTTGGGGGGGGGCCCATTGAACACAGTTCACTTTAGAGAGGTGGGGAGACCCGTCTCAGCTCCCCAAACCCCTATTATGTGTAAGTCACCCTGTGCCTATTAGGGGTACAGTGTGATCTGTCCTAATATTGGGGTGGGGGGGAAAGGGGGTTGCTGATTGTTTAATGCCATGTGGTTGCATCCTATTGTTCTATTGTGTGCCTTGCTTGGGAGCAAACTATTATGGGATCTATGTGTTTATGTGTATTAGCTTAGTGGGGGGGTGCCTCCAGCAGCCTTCCTCCTGATGGGACTGTCTGCTGGTGTTAAGTTTGGATACCTGTGTCTCTCTTGTTGCTAAGTGTAGATTGCCCCGTCCTGTGTCATTATGCAGGGAGGGGGGATTGTCCCGAGTGTATAAAAAGCCAGTTCGAGTTTCAAATAAAGAGTTCCATGTTCAGACAGATTGGTGTCGTCTAGTCTTGTTTGGTCAGCAGTGGTGTCTGTGGTCGCTGTTTGGACGGGGAAGTGGTATTATAACGGAAGTACCCAAGTGCAGACTGGGGATGGTTCCATTACATAGAGCAAGAAGTCAGAGCACTCTTTTGGGGCCTATATGGGATGACAAAAACGTAAGGAATCCTTCGGAAAGAAACAGTGGCTAAAGTATAGACTCACACAGCCAGAACCACATCTAAGCAATAGGGAGAAAAGTCATTTTCGTAAACCAGTTTTGGACAGAGGGAGAGAAGAGCAATGTTCTGGTTTAGATTAAAGCCAAAAAAACACTAGGCAAGAGGGAAAGTCCTTGGCCTCAATATTACCTTATCCCTATGCAAAACCAAAAACAGTTCACTACAAGATAAGGCTCCAAGCTCAGGCACTCATCCTGCAAAAGTTATGGCTACAAACAAAACCACCTTGTGGTTGGAATAGAGAGAGAAAGGTCTCCAATGGGTTCAAATGACTGATTCTGATGTACAGAGAGGACCAAATTCAGGTCCCATGGAGTAACTGGGGAATGGACAGGGACATATACATGGAAGACCCCTTGTACAAAGGTCTTAATCAGATAGTAAGTGGCCAACGGTCTTTGAAAAATGCCAGAAACTTGCCCCTTTATAGTGCTGACAGCCAAGCGCTACAAACAAAACCACATTGTGGTTGGAATAGAGAGAGAAAGGTCTCCACTGGGTTCAAATGACTGATTCTGATGTACAGAGAGGGCCAAATTCAGGTACCATGGAGTAACTGGGGAATGGACAGGGAAAGCTACATGGGAGACTCCTTATACAAGGGTCTTAATCAGATAGTAAGTGGCCAACGGCCTTTGAAAAAGGCCAGAAACTTGCCCCTTTATAGTGCTGACAGCCAAGCGCTTGTCAAGACCCACTGCAGGAAGGATTTATCTCACAGACAAACTCATAAGATGGAAGCCCTGAGACTCACATCAAGTAATGTATGCATTCCAAGTCCAATGGTATACCCTGCGGGAAGTAGACTCCGTAGTTTTGAGCAAAAAATACTGTAGGTCATTCTAACACATCTAAGCTCAAGAAAAGATGTCTATTCTTCTGGCGAGGTGGTGATTGGAGACGGAGTATGTCTTGGGCTGGCCTACAGTTTTCTTTGCAATTTTTCAATTCTCCTGCAGGTGGAAGCATAATCCGAAGGTTAAAGACTTCCTATGTTCCTCAAGTATGAGAAAGAAACAACATTCAAGCAGCACATAACCTACCCAGGGCCAAAACCGTTCCACGACTAAAAACCTTCTTCCACTGTTCCAAAATGTAGGTGAAGTTGTGCACCTCCTTCCTGTTCAGCAACAGACTGTAGGTGGGACCGGTCTGCACAGCCTAAAATAAAATAAGTTCTTAAAGCAGAGCTTTACTTTCTCAAGCAACATTAACTATTTGAGATCCCAATGCAGTTAGCATTAGTAAATAGAGAAGAAGGCATACAGCATAATATTTGTTTAACCCCTTGGCGCCAGCGCCTCCCGGCCTTTTAAGCGTTTCAGAAGCCAGGAGGCGGGACGGGGTTTTAGGGTCATGTGACCACCGTTATTCGCCATCATGGCAGTCACATGATGGGGAAAGGTCCCGATCGAAAGAGGAGATCGGGACCTTTCCATGAGTACCGGACATGTGTGCTGGGAGTGTGCAAAGCGCGCACTCTCAGTACATATGTTTTTCTTAATTGCACATAAATGTGCGGCCGCTCGGCGTCAAGGCCCAGACTCTTAGAGGCCGCACATTTGCGTGCGGCCGCGCGAAGAAGTTAAATCTTTTTTAAAATTTCTTCAGTTGTTTCCTGGTTTCTAACCTAGGCAAAAATGGCATACATCCCAGGAGTCTTCACTGGAATTTATTTTTGCATCTTCAATCGGGATGAGTTTTCTCAGCTAAGCACACCATCCTGCCAGCATGCCTGAGCTAAGGGCAGATAGATTCCATGAAGTAAATGCCACATGAATCTTCCCTTATTCAAGATGGCGTGGCTAGAAATGCTAGGGTGGAGGGGGGGGGTGTTTCAAAAAGATTTCTCGGCAAAATAAAGCATGGAGACATGGATAGATGGGTGAGTTCGCCCTGAATATTAAAATTATATAGCATTTTCGGCCAGATAAAGTTTAATTCCCTTTTAAGAAACCTGTCTAGGTGCCCTACTATGGGTTAACCAGTTTATATCCTGCAAATACAATTAATTTTGGTCTACTAAATATACCACTGGCTTAGGGCCACGGATGTAGCAAAAAAAAAAAATCCAGCAAGTTAAACTTCCTGTGGTCTGTGCTACACTTAAATCACAAGCAGTGTTGTCAGCCCAGTTCTCCTTTAAGAAATACAAGACATTCTCTATGTTAGAAGGGGGGGGGGGGGTGTTGTGGTAATAAATAAACACTTCCTGGTGACACCTCTGCTTCTTCATAGGTACAAATGTGAGCAAGCGTTGTCACTATAGGACAGGAACTGTGTTTTTGGCTAGATCACCAGGTGGAAAAAAAGACAAAAAAGAAAAGTAAAACAATATAGCCTACACATCTAAGGACTAGTAAAGCTGAGACCTATTATATTTTTGTTCCTGAATTTAGATACAATTTTATGTAAAGTATAAAAGGTTTGAGGTTTGGGAACAATTTTAATATAATTTATTATGTTTAGATACAAAATATCAGTTTGGAAACATTTCTAAACAATAAATAAACTTATAATAAAGGGTGCACCGAGCATCAAAGGTTTCTAAAACCAAGTCGCTTGCCTTCAGATGCCCTCTCTCTACATGTATCTGGGAACAGTGTCATGAAAACAGAGCAGGAAGGAGGAGGAAATCACTGCTCTGCTTATTCCATTGTGTGTGTAAACTGGAGCTTGAGCTATTGGGCTCTGTTAACAGACCATATCAGCAAAGCAGGTAAGACTAGTCTTGCAAAGATACAAAAATAAACTTTAAAAGTAAAACCTGAAAATATTTTAGATTTATTTGACCAAAAGTATATACAGGTGTACCTCGGTTTATGAATTTAATTTGTTCCGTGGGACTTTTCGTATAGAGAGAAATTCGTAAACCAAAACGCCGTTTCCCATAGGAATACATTGAAAAACAATTAATTTGCTCCGGAGTTCAGAAAAAAAAAGTAAAAAAAGTCTTTGTTTTTGGTCAAAACTCTTTATAAAATGCACTTTAAAGGCATAAATTCTGTACAGGCATATGATTAAAAATGAATTCGTAAATGCACTGAAAACCAATTGCAGTATTCCATTCCGTAGGTCAGAAAAACGTAAAAAAAAAATGTTATCTGTTCAAAACGCTTTATAAAGTGCACTTTAAACACCTTCCACCCGCCCCCTATAGTACAATGACGGGCGCAAGGTGATTCTCTCGTTCTGATAGGACGTCATATGATGTCCTACCATTCTCACTGCGCATGCACGGCTCAGGGAGCGCGCAGCGCTCGCCGGTCCGCTGTCATGGAAAGAGCCGAAGATGTCGGCTCGGTCATGTGATCAGCTGTGTCCAATCACAGCTGATCACATGTAAACACAGAAATGGTGGTTATCGGCATTTCTCTCCTCTCGAGCTGTCACGCTGACAGCTCGAGAGGAAAGGAGAACCAGTAATTGGCTTTCCGCGGAGGGGACATGTACACTGATCATCAGGGCACTGATGATCAGTGTGGCCCCAGAAGTGCCACCTGTCAGTGCTCATCAGTGCCCATCAGTGCCAAATCAATGCCAAATATCAGTGCATACCAGTGCACATCAATGCCACATATCAGTGCCCATCTGAGCTCCCTTTCAATGTCACCTATCAGTGCCACCTATCAGTGCCAGTCAGTGCCGCCTAACAGTGCCAGTCAGTGCCGCCTATCAGTGCCATGTATCAGTGCTGCCTTTCAGTGCCCATCAGTGATGCCTGTCAATACCCATCAGTGCAACCTACCAGTGCCTCCTCATCAGTGCCACCTATCAGTGTCCATCAGTGCAGCCTATCAGTGCCCATCACTGCAGCCTCATTAGCGCACATCAGTGAAGGAGAAAAATCACTTATTTACAAAATTGTATAACAAAAACTAAAAAAAAACTTTTTTTGTTTTCAAAATTTTCAGTGGTTTTTGGTTTGTTTAAGAAAAAATAAAAATCCCCGAAGGTGATTAAATACCACCAAAAGAAAGCTCTATCTGTCTCAAAAAAAATGATAAAAATTTCATATGGGTACAGTGTTGCATGACCACGCAATTGTCATTCAAAGTGTGACAGCGCTGAAAGCTGGAAATTGGCCTGGACAGGAAGGGAGTATAAGTGCCCTGTAGGCTAGTGGTTAAAGGCAAAAATACTGTACAGGGCACAATTAAAAAACAAAAATTTGTAAATGCATTGATAACCAATTATTCTGTTCCAGAGGTCAGAAAAAAGTCTATCTGTTCAAAACTCTATAAAGTGCACTTTAAAGTCACAAATACTGTACAGGGACATGATTAAAAAAAAATTGTAAATGCATTGAAAACCAATTAATCCGTTCATATTTTGGAAACAATTTGTAAACCGAGCCATTATTCTCAATGGATTTTTATTCGCAAACTGAAAATTACGTAACCAAGGCATTCATAAACCGACGTATGCATGTAGTTTGAGTTCTGCCCATAAAAAAAAGAAAATATATGGGAAACTAATCCCTTAAAATAATAAAGCTTAAAAGCAGTAGCAAAACCGCCACAAAAATGAAAAAAAAAAAAATCGGTCATCAAAAAGTCATAATGTACTAGTATGCACAGCTTACTAGCATATTATGACAGACTTACCTACACTGGAGCCCTCCAGCACAGCGCAGTCACGGCTCCCAGGTGTTCCATCTTCACCCGGTCTTCCTTCTGGGTTTGCAGGCTCTGGCTGTATGAATGGAGGGTATGTCAACCCTTCAGAGCGCATGCGCCAATGACGTCACCGGCTGAATCTTGTGTAACTATCGCCTAAACAGTGCAAGTTTGGGAGATATCCACCGTATCTACACAGGTAAGCCTTATTATAGGCTTACCTATAAAAAACAAGTTAAAAAAGTAGACTTTACTTCCACTTTAACCTCTTCACACCGGCCGTACGCAAATGTGCGGCCCTCCCGGCGTCTGGGCCTAGACGCTGAGTGGTCACATGTTTGCGTTTCTATTAAAAAAAGAACATATGTGCTGAGAGCGTGCGCCGGCGCAAAGGGGTTAACCAACATGGCAACCCCCAAATATGTATATAACACACATCAATACAGGATGTTTAAATACTTATTTAATATTAGAAAATGGTAGAATGATTCTTAAAAAATTCTACGGATACAAAAATTGTTCATTGTATGCCCTGTATATGATGAACCATTGAGGTGTGGTTCATTACCCTGGCGAGAAAATGCTGGCTGCAAAGCTGTCCGCTAAGAAAGTGTATACACCTACCTTGTGCACGAGTTCCGCCTCTTCATCAGAACTGGTGAAGATGAGAATTTTCTGGGCATTGACTGGCGTGAAGTCCAAACACTGCAGCAACACTGACATCTTCTCGCAGTCTAAACACAAGTGCAATATCTAGGCGAGAAACAGAAATATAGGACAATACATTCAACTCCTTAGAAGGCAAGGGTTGTCATCTCTGTTTGTTGGCGGGCCAATGTTTACTGCTCATTCCTCTGGCTGTCATCCATTTCCAGCATCTTTAGACGTACTGTAGTTATGAGGTTGACTTAAGTCCTTGGATTTACCCGGCCTTTTAGCCGGGTTCACACATATGCGGTGCAAATCACATGCGACTTGTGTGCGGTGCAATTGGAGCCGTACATTATGTATGGCTCAAATCGCACCACACCCGCACCAACAAGGTGCAGGACCCTTTTTTGGGTCCGCACTAGAATCAGATCGCATGGGTAGTCACACCTAATCTGATTCTGCACATGGCACCGCGTTTTGCGGAGCGCTTTCGGGATGTTGTTAACTTAACATACACACACCCGCAAATGAACGGGGTGCGATTCTGATGCGGTGCGGAATCTGCACTAAAAACTTTGCGAATTCCGCACTGCATCAGAGTGAACCAGGGCTCACAGTATTATATAGACTGTGACGTTCCATGGCATTGATGGAACTTCTTGGGCCAAAGCAGCATCACAATAAAAAAAGGCCAAGCAGCTCTAAAACCTGACAGTCCAACGGGGGAGAGGGGGGGCATTCAAACAACCGCCTGACAGTCGGAGAACATACCGCGTAACATCTAGATCCATGTATATCATTATTTACATCATTGTGTACAGTACATTATTCCTTACTTTGAGTACATGGTTATGATTACAAATACCTATGTACTGTGCTTCCCCTTTTTACATGGCTTTCTGTACCTGTTGGACATTTGCAAAGACTGCTGCCTGCTCCATCCTGGTGATGATCACTTGTGGGCAGGATGTATAATTAATTAACAGTTCCATATCTTGATGCCACATGTTTCCAATTGCGACAAGCTGCTGAGAAGTACCATCTCTAGTTTCCATAGACACCGTTTTCTTATAGGCTTCCAGTATGGCCAACATCTGGAAAGAAGGTAACAGTTACCATGTGGACAAAAAGGAAACGTTTTGCAGAAGAACAGGAAATCCACCACATTTGCGTTGTCTGTAGTGACATAGCTAGTCCATGAACTAGACCTAAGTGCTACTAAAAGATTGATCACTCAAGGAACTCTCCAACATTAAGCTTTCCAGAAGTCAAAAGCAAACCAAATGGTAGCATGAGAAATTGGCATCCATTACTCTTCACACATATAAAAACATTTCTAAAATATGGTCTCCATGGATAGAGCATAACCCACCAATGTAGTAAAATATGAATGCATTGGCACTGTGTCACACTGAATACAGGAGGAGATCATCATGGCAAAGAGGTCCTATAAGCCCATGAATATTGGTAATATGGCACATACGTGGATTCTTAAAATGTTACTAAACCCATAACAGTAAAATCAGTCTGTATATTATTATTATACAGTATTTATAAAGCGCCAATAGTTGGCTCAGTGCTGTACATTACAGAGGGGGACAGAACATGTGACAGAACAATACCAATACAATGTGATACATGAGGGGATCGAGGGCCCTGCTCTTTCGAGCTTACAATCTAGGAGGGAGGGGATGGTGGCACAGGAGGAGATAGCTGTGGGGGATGGAGTGGTAGGAAGAGTGGAGGAGGGAGGCAAGTTAGCAGGGGGTGGGTGTAGGCTTCCCTGAAGAGATGGGTTTTCAGGGTGCGCCTAAAGGAGAGGAGAGTAGGTGATAATCTGATGGGTTGGGGCAGGGAGTTCCAGAGGATGGGTGACACCCTGGAGAAGTCCTGGAGGCAGGATCTATGGGAGGAGGAGACCAGGGAACTAGAGAGAAGGAGGTCTTGTGAGGAGCGTAGTGCGCGTGCTGGGCGGTACTTGGATATTAGGTCGGTGATGTAGTTCGGGGCAGTATGGTGGACAGCTTTGTACGTCAGTGTTAGGATTTTGAATTTGATCCATTGCGCAATCGGAAGACAGTGGAGGGATTGGCAGAGGGGGGTGGCGGAAACAGAGCGGTTGGAAAGGTGAATGAGTCTGGCAGCCGTGTTCAGGATCGACTGAAGCAAGGATAGCCTGTGATTAGGCAGGCCAGTGAGGAGGGAGTTGCAGTAGTCGAGTCGTGATATGATGAGGGAATGGATGAATATATATATACTGTATATGCAGTCATGCTTGTTATACTCACTGTGGAACCTAAGGGGTTAATCCTCTGCATTGTGTAAAAATGCTGTTTGATTCTGACTTCTCTGCTCCTCCCCTACTTCAAGTGTCCCCTCTTATCTCCAGATAAGACATATGGTGTGGAGTCACTCTACACATGCTTAGTTTGGTGTGTATTGCTAACAAGGGGTTTTTTTTTTATCTTGGGAGAGTGCATGTGAACAGCACAGGGCCAATCAGCACTGTCCAGACAGAGGTCAGGGGTTCTGCATCCTCCTAGAGCAGAAAGAAAACTCTTCCTACAAGCTTTAACCAATGCTCTGGTGGACACTGATAGGAATCACAAGACTGCTCTAACTGCTGATGAGAAAAGATATTTAGCAGTTTATATTTACTAAAATAATTGCATTTTCATGTTCTGTGTACTGTGGGACGACCAGATATAGTGAATGCAGGGTCCGGAGAGACCAGATATAGTGAATACAGGGTCCGGGGAGACCAGATACAGTGAATGCAGGGTCTGTGGAGAGCGGATATAGTGAATGCAGGGTCTGTGGAGAGCGGATATAGTGAATGCAGGGTCTGTGGAGAGCGGATATAGTGAATGCAGGGTCTGTGGAGAGCGGATATAGTGAATGCCGGGTCCGGGGAGACCAGATATAGTGAATGCAGGGTCCAGGGAGACCGGATATAGTGAATGCAGGGTCTGGGGAGACCAGATATAGTGAATGCAGGGTCTGTGGAGAGCGGATATAGTGAATGCCGGGTCCGGGGAGACCAGATATAGTGAATGCAGGGTCCAGGGAGACCGGATATAGTGAATGCAGGGTCCGGGGAGACCAGATATAGTGAATGCAGGGTCCGGGGAGAGCAGATATAGTGAATGCAGGGTCCGGGAGAGCAGATATAGTGAATGCAGGGTCCGGGGAGAGCAGATATAGTGAATGTAGGGTCCGGGGAGACCAGATATAGTGAATGCAGGGTCCAGGGAGACCGGATATAGTGAATGCAGGGTCTGGGGACTCGAGACCAGATATAGTGACTGCAGGGTCTGTGGAGAGCGGATATAGGGAATGCAGGGTCCGCGGAGACCAGATATAGTGAATGCAGGGTCCGGGGAGACCAGATATAGTGAATGCAGGGTC